AAAAATAGTAGTCTATGCTTTGATAATGAGCTGACAGATAGGGGAATTTTGTAAAGGGTGGCTTAGCCTGTCTGTTGTGATTACATGTCTAAAAAGTACATCATGGTATATTTTAGCCACCATAGAATTTATCTAGAAAAAATATAGCAATTTTTATTTGTACAAAAATATAGAAATAGTACAATGTATGATTAGTAAAATGTTCACTATACATGTACAAATAATGAAACTATTAACAAATGTCGGTACAGCCGCGGTACGGTATTTAGAGGGTCACGGGTTCGAGTCCATGTCAGGATTCACTTTTTTCTCAGCCTGTGACTGATATAACATTTGTATAGCCCAGGTAGAAATTAAATCACAATGCTAATTAAGTAACCCTGGGAAATTCGAAGAAATATTTGCATACACAGTAGGTTTATAACGATTCAGTATTTTAACAAGTAAAACGTGTAAGCGGCCGAATAGCTCGGAGGAACTCAAGAGCCACGGAATGGTATTCCGACTGTCAGGGGTTCGAGTCCCTGCCAGGCTGTTACATATCAATATAAATCTGTCAAGAAAAATAGGGAGGAACTGTCTAAAATAATTATCACCCTAAATAGGATTCGGATTGGGTTCGGATGTCTTTGATGAAAAGTCAGAAGATGAACTTGTAAAGGGGGTGGGGTGCGAGTCTGATTACCATCATTTGATGTCTGACGAACCTCATATCTAATATATATTGGTACGCATATAAACACCTGTTTGCTGAATTTAATATCAAAAATGTTGCAATTAATTAGTAACTAAATCTTATATGCGTATGTAAACTAGGATTAAAACTAATTAATCTTCGGCGTAAAGCATGTAGAAATCTGACCAGTATTCACCGCGAGGTCACAAACTTTAAAACTTTAATGTAAACATCACAATAATACTTCTTTATATAATATTTCTATTCTTTGACAGGGACACAGAACATCTCTTACATGTTTAAGAAACAAGAAATTTACATAATATATCTATCTAAGATATTCTTTTACTTCTGAATAGTAACAGACGCAAAACACGGTACTTAAGCGCTTAGACGAACGCAGACGCACGCTAAATAAGAAACGCACGCTTTCAGACGCACGATAAACGAAAAACGATACACGGAAAACGAAAAACGTTAAACGCTTGAAAACGATACACGCTTGAGAAAGCGTTTCAGCAAACGCACGTTGCACGCTATACGCACGCACGTTACACGAAAAACGGACGCACGAAAAACGCTATTTTTGACAACCGAAACGTTCACCCTACTGTAATCCTTAAAATATTTATACTGGCCCAATATAACCTGACAAAAAATCTTTATATCTAAAATTGTATGGTTATCTCACCTCTACTTTAGGGGTCACATTACATTTTGCAATCTGGGCACCAAGATCAGAAAACTTGCAACTCTCAGATTTACCTGTAATCATATTTATAAGCAAATTATTTTCATTTCTACATCTTCTATATATTACCGGTATACAATATTATATGAAATGTGTCATTAAAAACTCCCAAAGTATAATAAAGTAAGTAAAGTTATGCAGGGCAAATGTACACAGTTTCTTAAAGTGACACCTGTTTTCAGTAGAGTGCTTTACATTTCATTAATTATGTTTATTATTCATATCATTGCTTTGCATAACAAGAGCTGTCGGTAGGACAGCAACGCTCGACTATTCTTAGTGCTTGATAGTAAAAAAAATGCTTGATACAGTTACCTCCTCCTGTTTACAGGTTGGGGTCATGATGGTGAACAAGTGTGCAAAGTTTCAAAGCCATATGTCAATGGACTTTGAAAATATTTGAACTATTACAAAAACTTTAACGTAAATTCTAAGTCGAAAAAGGGGCATAATTCTGTCAAAATGCTTGATAGAGTTACCTCCTCCTGTTTACAGGTTGGGGTCATGATGTTGAACAAGTGTGCAAAGTTTCAAAGCCATATGTTAATGGACTTTGAAAATATTTGAACTATTACAAAAACTTTAACGTAAATTCTAAGTCGAAAAAGGGGCATAATTCTGTCAAAATGCTTGATACAGTTACCTCCTCCTGTTTACAGGTTGGGGTCATGATGGTGAACAAGTGTGCAAAGTTTCAAAGCCATATGTCAATGGACTTTGAAAATATTTGAACTATTACAAAAACTTTAACGTAAATTCTAAGTCGAAAAAGGGGCATAATTCTGTCAAAATGCTTGATAGAGTTACCTCCTACTGTTTACAGGTTGGGGTCATGATGTTGAACAAGTGTGCAAAGTTTCAAAGCCATATGTCAATGGACTTTGAAAATATTTGAACTATTACAAAAACTTTAACGTAAATTCTAAGTCGAAAAAGGGGCATAATTCTGTCAAAATGCTTGATACAGTTACCTCCTCTTGTCTACAGGTTGGGGTCATGATGGTGAACAAGTGTGCAAAGTTTTAAAGCCATATGTCAATGGACTTTGAAAATATTTGAACTATTACAAAAACTTTAACGTAAATTCTAAGTCGAAAAAGGGGCATAATTCTGTCAAAATGCTTGATAGAGTTACCTCCTCCTGTCTACAGGTTGGGGTCATGATGGTGAACAAGTGTGTAAAGTTTCAAAGCCATATGTCAATGGACTTTGAAAATATTTGAACTATTACAAAAACTTTAACATAAGTGGTTACGCCGACGCCGACGCTCGGGTGACTGCAATAGCTCTACTTATTCTTATCGAATAGTCGAGCTAAAAACAAAGTGCAATTGTATAATTTAAATGATGTATACATTTTGTTGTTGTGTCATTCTCTGCTCTTGTAACTTTCCTTTCTGCATATATACATGTATAACCTTTTAGTAGGTAACTATGTACAACAATGCACATTGAAGAACCTTGTTAGATTTTAAATAGAAAATATCCTTATAAGTGAAGTTTCGCTGGCAAATAATTATGACAAGCCATTATGCCACTACTATAATTATAGCCAGGCCAGGCAGATGAATTTTAACATTCATATATTGAAATTTCCCATTATAATTTATAATACATAGTTTAAAATCTAAAAGAGGAAGATTTGATTACATTAATTTAAGAGAGTCAATGTTAATAAACCACATACCACCATATGTTAAAGGTACAGATGCAGTTGTTGCACTCAATTTTTTATCAAGCTCAAAATCCTCTATCCTCCAATCAGCTTCTAAAGGTGTATCATTGATTGGATCAAATTTGGATGTCTTTGTAAACTCATCTATGATTGGTGCAGAAAATGTGTGTTTTGGATCACTGTTCCTAATTGTGATTGGTCGATACAAAGTGCCAAGAGAAATGGGGTCTTCATATTGCAAAGCAAGGGCTGTATCCTCAATTCTAACATGGCGGGAGAGTTGCTTGCGTGTAACACAGATGCAGTATTTCTGTTATATATATTAAGTTCATGCAATAATTAATTCAACATGAATACTGCAAAAGATTCCATCAAAACAATTTAATAAATTAATTTTTTTTCTATTTCTTCTGTTTTACAGAATTATGAAAAAAATGAAACAAAGCACATTAATACATTAACTAGCTACAGTAATATTAATAATTTAAGCATAAAATGATCTGTATCATCTGTATCAATAAAATATATAACAAGTATATTTAAGTATGTAAAACAGGTTTAAGAAATCGATACAAGGTATTTTAACATAATACTACAGTGCATGTGCATCAATGGTTTTACATCTCAGTGAATTAAATAGCATACAAAAACATTATTCAACACATTACTACGTGTTCAAGACAAATGTTTTTGTTTTTTTTTATTTTCAGGGTTTTATGCAAATTTTTACACAAACTACTTATAGGTGGTCTTTGCTTAATTCTGCATAAAAAAGGAAAGAAAACAAACATATTTATTAACAATGCAAAGTTCAGTTAATAAAGAAAGGGAACATACTTGTTTATTGGAGCCATCTTCCGAGGTGACCTCCACTATAATATTTGTACTCCCAACATTCAGTGTGGTTGGAGATCCTGGTTTCTCACCATTTACAGTCACAACATTCTTAGTATCTGGTGGGGTAGGTGTCACTTTAACAGCATTAACATTGCAGGCTAACAAACCTGAAATTACAAGTGTTAATAGTAGAGGATATATGAGAGAATTATATCAGTTAATAATCTAAACTGAGATGTATTGTTATAGCCAATTGGTAGTAGTTATGGTTAACATACAGATTTAGTGGGATTCAGAGACTGTTCATTTTGTTACGATATTTACAGCCATTCTGTGATTATTCATTTTGCAGTAGCATATCTATTTTGTTATTTTCTCTATTTTCTTATCAATGAATTGTAAATAAAATTCTAAGCTGTAAGTATGATATGTTGAGTTTTATAATAATTGATTTAAAGCTGAACAAAATCCGTTCAGAAATAACCAAACATTATACCGAAAAACATTAGTGTTGGGTTATAAGTGCCTCTGAGTGTATATTTACGTGAATGATCAATAAATTAGTGATATATAAGTCATATCATTAAATATTATAAAACATTTAGTATATATTTACATGTATATTCATAGGTTTCAGGACTGAACTCTGGTACAACAGTTCCAACATCTAACTTGAGACTGGAAAGAGTAGCATCTTTTGCAGAAAGTCGTTTTACATGGATGATATACACTTTGGTTGTTTTACCGTCTTCAGCACACACATCAATTTTAATATCAGTCACTGCTCCTTCTTTCACTGGGACTTTCTTTGATCCTCCACTCCCCTACAACCATTAAATTAAAAAAAAATAATTTCTACAGTTATCAGTTTTAATTGACTAAAATTTAAAAAAAAAAAAAACACTCGTTACAAGAGTTTGATATCTATAGACATCATATTAAAATGCAAAAGTTAAAGAGGGTTACTGTATGTGTTACAAGTATGCTTTTCTCGTCGATTAGTGACTCTTATTTGTAAAAATTGCGCTTGCACAACAAATATCAGACATACGTACAATTCAATTAGTGCATTTGTTAAATAAATTCATTATCTAAAAGTTCAAAAACTTTAAATTACTTTTAAAAACAACCGCTCAAAGATTAGAGTATCTGAACATGTCAACCATGACTGTCTTGCTCGGCTGGACGCTGACCAATCGATTCGTGAAATCCGATTCACCCTGTGACGTCATCAAAATATAGGTGCTCGCACCACTAAATGTTCGCATGGTTATTTTCAGTCCGATCTGATCAATATATGTTTCAAAGTCTAAAGTAAATTCTTACAGCATAATGAATATTTTTTTGGCTTAACTGTAAGTGTGTTTGATAAATTAAAACATCAATATCAAATATTTTCAAGCAATTAGGTCACCAGCTGATTGTAGGGTAAGGTCATTTACACCTGTTCATTTACGCATTTTGATTGGTTAGAATTGTCAAATCGAGTGTCTAATAAAACTTGTGTAGTTTTCGGATGGTGTATGTCCTTGCAAAAGTATTTATACCAGACATTTATTTAGGTCACGAATCGATGAGAAGACACGAATCGATGAGAATAAGGCATAAGTAATTTGTACATTTGTAAATCTCTTAATTCACATAATCGTCATGATAAAGCAGGGCCTGTGAATATAGCTCAGAGGTTAATTCACACTGCTTTGTAACTTTGTGAAACTCAAGGGCAAATTTCAGTATAGCAGGGGAGTATGTCATGGTTCCAAACTGTTCACTCTTTAGGAAAGAATATGTGTAAGTAGCCGAATAGCTCAGTCAGTAGAGCTGACAGGGTCCCGGGTACGAGTCGCGACCAGGCTGCACATCTTTCTCACCCTGTGACATGGGTAAAACGGATGCCAAATCTTTATTTTAAGTTATTTACAGGGGCACATTAAGCTGGTGATTAGGTCTTCAAGTGTCTTTGCAAATATCATTGACTGTTGAATATTATAAACAAAAAACTGGCCCCCAAAAAACGATAAAATATCTCACTGAAATTGTATAAGAGGCCCCCGTGTCTCTGGTTAAAAGATCTAGAGTAACTTCTGTAACATTGCTTGGAATTGTTGAACTATACTCTAAAGTGTCCTGGTGAAAAGCGGGTGCAATTTTGCCTGGTTTAATTCCAAGCTTTTCAAGGTTGCAATCGTCCATCTTGAAACTTAGGACTCTTCAGTGCGGATCTATATCATATATCTATGATAGACAATATAAATTAACAAATTCAATGAAGAATTCAAATAGTGTGTTAATTCACATATTCTTATATTATTTTTTTCAAATATTTACCATACAACTTTATTCAATTTTAATTTTTATCTAATCAGGACTAAGAAAAATAGTAAGAAACTCGACATACCTTTTTCGCGGGAAAATTAACTTCCGTGTTTACCTTTTTTTGTCTAAAAAAAATGTCTTGCATTATAACAGAAGAAGATCTTTCAGATGAATTTTCAATTTTTAGCATTGAGCTTGAAGATGAAGGCGTCATTGGCAAATGTAATTATAAAGTTTTGAGAAATGACTCGCGATTTTACCAAGACCAAGTCGACCCTATTTTGAATCAAATTCGTCCCAAGATGTTTCGACCTTAAATTATTAACCATAGTAATTTGTCCACGTAGAGATATGCACTCGTCCCTTTACGTAGATATATCCACTCGTCCCTTTACTAATCCATTTACTAATTACAAACTTTCAAAATAATGATATAGTCAACTTTTTTATATAAGGTCCACAGAAACCAAAAGAGCACATCAGGAAATAATGTTTGAAGTCCAAATTTATGTATGCATGTATGTATTCCACACTTAATAAGGGTCCATCTGCCCTTTCAGGCAATGGGACATGTAACCATTCATGTCCTTAAAGGTTATAATCTACCAAAGTGGTGACCAATTAATTTTGAATTCAGTAATTCACTGAAGAAATTAATAAAGTTATGTGAAAAAAATTCAGGGACTGCGTTCAGGGCGAAGTCAGACGAAAACTTCGCTGTAAATATTTTCACTTTGCCCTATATGATCGAAAAAACGAAATTCCAGTCGCCCTAAAATCTCTATGAAAGGTCTGTCTGACATGTATATTTCACCACTCTGTCGTAATTAGCACATGTATGCGCAGAAGCGTGGCCATAGCGACACTTGGAAATCCACATCGCTAAAAATAGCGCATTGATTGTACGTAACATTTTCGGTAAATTAAAGCTGTGAAAGACCCTGATATGAATGCAGCAGATGATAAAAAGCTAGCTAATTGATAATTAAGTTACCTCAAACGTATTTATTTGTGTCTTATTTACAATATCCCCTATACGTTTTGTTTGATTTACAATATTCCATAAACGTTCTGTTTGATTTACAATTTCCCCTACATGTGACCTTAGATAAACTTCATTGAGCAACTAGTACTTCATCATAGCAACTTTCAAATACACCTTTGTTTATTTTCCTTGCCATATATATGTTTATCAAACACCCGTGCCAATTTTGCGACTCCGTAAATATGGTATTGCACGGCCGTGCATATATTTTGACGTGACGTCATTAGCGTTATACAAACATTGTGTAAAGACGCGCAAAATGTTAGCGTTATACTATAGGCGCGTCAATGAAAAATGACTCTTATTTCACTTGAAACGGTCTTTATTTTGGGTATGTGATAAATAGAATCAGGGTTTCTATTGATGTACATTTCCTGCATCCTTGAAGCAAAAATAGTAACCTAGGACCCTCAATTACTCTAAGTCTGCGTCCACGGGGACGCAAATTAAAATTTCCTCCGTAATTGTCATTTGGAAATTCCTTCCGCGTCTTTAAAGGAAATGACGTAATTTAGTAGACGGGTTCTAATATTGAGTACAGCAGAGTTATCTTTCTTTCAATTAATTATAGTTTAATACGGAATAAAACGGCGCACACTAGAATTTAGTCGACCTTAAAAAAGCGTCCCAGTCTATGCGTTGCTATGCAAATAAATCGTGAAACATGTCGGCTGCTCCCCTAAAGAAATCACGTAGTTTTAATGAAAAGTGGCTAAGTACTTATCCGTGGCTCGTCCAAAACGAGAAGACCACGGGTGTGAAATGCAACCATTGCGTCTCAACCAAGAAATGTAATCCATTTGCCTCGGAAAATGGATGTTTGAATTTCCAGAATAGTACATTGGTCCGTCATCAAGAGTCTAAAGATCACTCGGACGCAGTTAAGCAATTGCAGCTTCGAAATAACTTTCGTAAATGTATTACGTCAGCCACACGTACTGATTCGAGATTTAAGAATTACGTTCCTCAATTACGCACTGTATATGTGATGTGCAAAAATAACATTGCAGCAGACAACTTCACAGAACTTATGAATTTACAAGAACTGAACAGTTGTGAAAACGTTGGCCATTATTACAGATCGGATGAGGCTGTATCCGAAATGGAATGTGTTTTGTCAAATACTATAGAAAAAAAAGTCATTGATGACATAAAAGCAAGTAAATTTATAGGAATAATGCTTGACGAAACTTGTGACATTTCGATTGACAAAAAAATTGTGTTTTACATAAAGTATATTAAAAACAGTGAAGCTCAAGTTTCGTATGTTGGGAACAGGAAAATAACTGATTGTACAGCAGAAGGAATTAAAGTGTCAGTTCTAGATTTTTTGTCAGAAAAGGGACTTGAAGTAACCTCTTTATTAGGACTTGGCACTGACGGGGCAAGCGTAATGGTTGGTTGTAGGAATGGTTTAGGTGTTGAGCTGAAACAACATTCAGAGCATTTGGTGCAGGTATGCTGTGTGATTTCACAGTAGACTATTATCATAATCTTTAAGCTGTTTTTATTTTAAGAAAATTATGCTGCAATTAAAAATGTAGCTTTAAACCTTTTAGATTGATGTTGGACTCTAGCTATAATTTAGATTTCAAATTTATAATTTTTCTATCAAAGTTTGATTAAAGACTCCTGTTGACTATTCAGTATTGTCTTGAACTGTTACCTATCTTGGATAAAATTAAACTTTTAACACTTATTAAATTTATGTAAAACAAATTGAATCATATAAAATAGATATTTGTTTTCCTTTATTTCAGAGTTCACTGTGTGGCCCACAGGTTAAACCTTGCAGCCAGTCAGGCCAGCAAAGGAATTCAGTACATGGTCGACTACAGGGATTTTATTCATAGTCTCTATAGGTTTTATGCTGATTCATCTGTACGATACGATAAATTACGAGAGTTACAAGTCATTTTTCATGGTAATGTGAAACAGGTTCCAGAGGGTACTTCAGTTAGATGGCTATCAGTAGAGGCAGCTGTTAAAATGGTGTTTCAATATTTTGACTCCATAATATTGTCTTTAGAAGATGATAAAGATTCTACAGGGAAAGCTAAGGGTATTTGGAAATTTGTAGGAACAACCCTCTTTTTACTGGTGACAGCACTTCTCATTGATGTACTGACAGTTATTGGGATTCTCAGTCTTACTTTTCAAAAGGACCATGTTAACCTTAGCAACATTCGCCACAATGTAAATTCCACAATTGAAACTTTAAATACAAGAAAAATGGATCAGTAACTGTTAATCAGGTTCTTCAAAACTTAACAGATGCCACAGTTCATGACAGTCATGATACAAACAAGAAAACCTACAAAAACATACAGTTAGCTGACCAGTCTTCAAGATTTGCTAATATTAGGGAGAGTTATATAAACAATTTAACTGAAAATTTTAGAAATCGTTTCCCTGAAAATGATTTAGATATTCTTGAGGCATTTGATTGTATTTTTAATCCAAAAAGGTACCCTGAGAATGTTAGGGATATACAGGATTATTCTATGCAGAAGTTGGAAATTCTTTGCCAGTTTTATAACACTCTACCCAATTTTGATGAGTCAAGGTGCAAAGCTCAGTTTTTACCATTTAAACACTTATTTTATTCATATAGGACAATTTTATCATTTTCTGGTTTAATAAAATTGCTTTTGCAGGAACACACAGAAACATACACTGACTTAGTTACTCTGGCTCAAATTGCAATGATAATTCCAGTGTCAAGTGCTCCTTGTGAAAGGGGTTTTTCCCACCAAAATGTGTTGAAAAATACAGTTAGAAATAGACTAAATCCTGAAAGACTAAATAGACTAATGATGATAAAATTAGTCGGACCAGATGTCAAAGATCTTGACTTTCTGCATGTTGCACAAACATTCAGCCAAATGAAAGAAAGGACAAAATAAAAAGTAAAAATAAAAAAGTAACAATAAATGATGATTATGTCATTGTGAAATTTATTTCCTGAGTTGACAAAGAAAAAATAAATAATAAATCATAATGGTTTATATTTTTTATTTTATTTAACAAGGTCAATAAAAATGCATATGTAGTTGAACAATCATCAATATATATAAATGAAATTATGTAAAGAATTAAACCTAGACAATATATATATATAACTAGTAAGTAATACCTTACTTTAAAGTAATAAATGATTAGGACCCTCATATTTTTCTCTGGGACCCTCATATTTTAGAAGCACGAGTCCCTTGGACTCTTAAATAAAAATTCCTAGTAGAAACCCTGAGAATATTAAATGAGTGTAAGTTCAATACTGAATTTATTGCACTCGTTGAATAAAATAATATTATGCTCGCCAGAGGCTCGCATAATATAATTTTATTCAACTGGTGCAATAAATTCAGTATTGAACTTACACTCATTCAATATCCTCTATATATTTTATATGCATGTACATATAAAGGTGTACATGTATATTTTGTGAAATAAATTAGAAAAAAATCCAATTATATAACTCGATTTGATGATCACTTCTCCCTAAATTTCAAAACTTCTCCCTATTTTTCCTGAAGGGAGAAGTCACTTCTCCCTAAATTTTCAGTCCAAGGTAGTCCCTGAAATTACCATAATACAGGCCCAAGCTTAAATGTTAGTGCTTTGGTTTAAGAATTCTGTATCTATTTCTTCTATTTCATAGAATGTTAAAAATATATGTGGTTCCAACTAATTATGGGATGAAATATTTGCTTAACTATCTGAGTGTGCTTATGCTGATGATAAATATATATCTTGACTGGTAACAAATTATTTTGTTTTCAGTGCAGGAGATGTGTACTATGCACAAACTCGAGGCTTCAGAACTTGTGTCTGAATGGGTGGCTTTCACTCATTCATTCAAGAAAAACGTGAAACTAGAATTTGATGCATTGGAGCAGTTTGAAAGGGAGGTAAATAACATTTTGTGTTTAAATCGCTGTCTTAAGTACAATACAAATAATTGTTGGGAAATTTAAATGCAACTTTGTGGTCATTCTTACTCCTTTTATGCCAGGTTGTTGAGTACAGTAGTTAAAAATGCTTACCTGTACATCTTTCATTGGCTAGCAGTAAGAGAACATTGAAATCCATGTAGATGGTATCATGATGATGTGAAAGGTACATGCATGCTCGGGTTATAGTGGAATTATAACAAATACATAAAGCTGGTAAAGTGAATGACATTAACATTTTGCTCTGTAGATACAGAATAGTTTGATATAAATACAAAATTCACCCATTTATTTGATGTATATTTAGAGATTATCTAAAAGGCATCAGAAAACACCAAAGGCAATTAAAAAAGAGGCGGCTCCAGTTATTCATACTATTGACAGTCTTCCGTAAGTAGCATTATTATTTGATGTTTAATATAAAAATGTTTTGTGACAGTTGGTACAATATAATAAAGTAAATTTATAAGTCATTTTCATTGGATGGATTGAATTGTATGGATTGAATGTGATCCTTAAACTGTTGTGACAGCTTAAACTTTTCTGATTTTGACTTCTTGTACAGAATGTTAATTTCAAAATCTTTCAACATCTTTGGTCAACCTTATTTGAAATAGAAAATTAATATAAATTATCAACAATTGTACATGTATAATTATATTTTTCAGGATGGATGTAGAAGGAGCTGAAGAATTATTTAGCTCATATGGCGGAAAGACACCAAAATCAAAGGTAATGCACTTCTCAATCAGTGTTGCATCTAGAATTTCAAAATTATGGGGGATTGTCCCCCACTCAACTGATGTTGTTGGGGATTTGAAAAAAAATGTGGGGGACATACATTTACCTTACAATATGACGTACCAAAAAGAATTCATTTTTTTTACGTTCAGGCATTTTTGTCAAAAACTGAAGTAGAAAAAATAAAGTATTGACGAATACTACAAAACACACGCGAGATGACCCAGTCAGCTGCTACACGCGATTTAGTACTTTAGAATTGTAGTCATAACCACGGGTGAAAACAAACATGGCTGAAGCGTTCAAGATACGATGTAGATAAACTGAATTATGTTGAAAAGATAGTCAGATGCGCGACTTGGCGCGCATTGACTTCATTAAAATGCGCGATCTGTATAAAAATGGGCAAATCGCGCAGCCTAGATGCAACACTGCTCAATGCACATTGTCATGTTATTATTTCATGTATTTATCTTCTTTAGACTATACAAATCCCATTCAGATATATACAAGTCATGTATATATTAAAAAACAGTCACTCTCCATCTTCACGCAATATTTAGCATTAATTAGTACAATTATTTATGAAAATGTATTTTGTGATATATATATACATAGTAAATTGAAGTGCATAATTTATTTTCCTGCATTCTAAATGTTGAATCTATTAAGAAATTTTGAAGTTGCATTTAATTTTTTATTTTTATCTATTGAGCTAAATGCAAACAGAAATTATACATATCAAAAGCTTTACAAATTTTTATACTGTAACCAAGTTGCACTTTACCAACTTACATACAGGCCTTATGCTTGATAGATAGGAATGCAAGATTAAAAAAAAAAATGTGTGCAAGCAAAAAAAACTATGCCCGTTAATAGATCGGCCCATATAGTACAAGAAATGTAATTAACGTTTCTTTTTCATTAATGATACAATTGTTGGTTGTATGATGTTAGACATTTGTAGAATGATTACACTACAGACTGCAGTATCAAACAAGAGACAGCATACACCAGAGAATGTCCCTATGAAAAGATTTACTGGACCTAATCGAAGCCCTGCAGTACCATTCTCTCCAGCCAGCTTCTCCCCAGCTAGGTATGAAAGTATAAACTATTCATTACTTGTTTATACCTGCAGACAAAACATATTTGTTATGTACAGTAAAAATTTATTTGCTAGATATGTAGAGAATTACTATCTTTTGTTATGAAAGGCATTGCAAGATGCCTAAAAAAAGCATAAGGGTACAATTGTAAAAAGCTATTTTCCAAATATTGGAGGGTGTTCATGGCCCAGTGATTAAGATCGTTAATTTCAAACCACTGTCCACTCACAGCTGGTGGGTACTAATCCCACCTGGTACTATGGATTATTTCAGGTGAGGGAGCTATCCAGCTAGCCCTTGAAACATAGGTTGTTCTTCTGAGGTATTCCCTCCACCACTTAAGATGACAAAATGTGATATATGACCTTGAAAGTGTTGGAGTGACTTAAGAACCAAACAAAACAAACAAATTCAGGGATCATCCTGGTCATGATTTTTAGTGAGAGATTTTCTCTCATTTGAGAAATTTTGATGAGAGAAATTAGATTTTCTTGAGAGATTTAATTTTCATGATGGGCGAGGTTAAAAATATGGAAATTTCTAACTTTTTAAAAATCACTGTACATATAAACATCGTTTATCTAAAGAGGATATAAGAAGATGTAGCTCTGTTTATTACAGTGATTTTTGTTTTCACTTTTTTAACACATCCTATGCCTTTTCTTTTGTGATTTTTTAAACATAATAAAATTCTAATTGTGAAAAATAAATATAACACCTTTATTCTGAAATATAAAAGAATTATACATGGATATCTACTACAACTATTATTTGCAGTCAATGTTCCTAATGGACAACACTGTACTGTACAGAAGTGATTGTTGAGATTTGAAGAATATTTTTATAACCTTTCATTTTGTTTTCTTTATGATTCTCTTCACACACCTCCCTCCATTAAAAAATATACCTGAACACATAATGACAAATATCTCCATATCCACAAATATAAACAATAACTAAAGTAATTTTTATTCATAAACATCATTTTTAGTGTTATAAAACACCTTTAAATAACACTCGGCTTCCTTTTAGAATTTTTTTAATCACGACATCGCGAAAATATGTGACAAATGAATATTTGTCTGTTTTCCGCTGAAACATTCACAATTCTAGCTGTTGCTGATTGCAATTATATAAAATTAAATATTTTTGTTCAATAAAAGAACATTTATTATCGGCTATTTCATCAGGAATCGTAAAACAAAATTTTTTAATTTGTTCTTTACGGCAAAATTTACCGTGGTTGATGTGACATTTAGAAGACAAATTTTACCGGTAGATTTATTTTTGACATGTCCATTTTTATGTTAGTCTGTGTCTAAAATTTTTTATTAAAATCAATTAAAAGTGTTTTGTGTAAATTCTCGACTTACAGATAGATAAAGGTTAGCCATCATACCGAATTTCTGTACGGTGAATTTGCGGTCTCCGATCGGCAATTATTTTAGGCTAAATAATTTAAAGTGTTGGACTACTTTTTGGAGTTTTTTACACCGATTTCATTAATAAACAATTTGAAATTAAATTCTTGATGGGAATCGTGAATTTTTCATCATATTTTTGTGTAATTTTAGCATTCCTTAGATTGTGTTTAGACATTTTCCGGCTCAAATTGCCGTGCGAGAATTTCTCTCATTTCCCAAATTTCTCTGAGATTTTGGTGATATTTTTGCGAGAAATCGCGGAAATCGCCCCCTAGAATGATCCCTGAAATTACTAAACATTGATTTCAAAAAAGAAATCTTTAGTTCTAAATTTGCTAAATAATCATATAAACTTTGCTTTGTAATTATTAACTTTAAGTTTACTTGTTTCTGACTCATTTCCAGCACTACTCCTGCCAAGAAATACAACTCTAGAACAAATCGTGGTGAGGTTATGGTTAGTGTTGGTAAAACTAACAACATTAAGTGGCAGGGATCAGGTCATAGTGTTGTTATAGAAGATTACAATACAGAACAGAGTATCTCTAAAGATATGAAATACATGTTTCAGAAATTATCAGAGAAAAGGGATGGTAAGTGAAACACTATAAATTATTATCTTATCATGGTTACAGTGTCTTTAGATGCAGTTTTCAGCTGCATTAATGATCTAATCTTGTAAAAATAAAGTAAGAGAAATGTGAAACTTTTTACATTTCGTTGGGAACGAAATCTCTCTCTGGTTAAGATTTATATTCAAAAGAATAAGATTTCAGAGTTTTTGAGGTACATAAATGATTTAATAACAATAATTAAGTCCTTGGTGTATACTGAGAAATTTGATCATAATTGTGAGTTTGAATATGTGGCTAGTCAGCGCTATATTGTGATGTTTGATTTTTTTACAAATTGTTCATTAGATTAATATTTATATGGGCTAGCCTAAGATGTTAATGGCATGGTTGAGTGGTTAACACATAAGACACAAGCTGTGTGGATTCAAACTCCACTTCTGGCAAATTGTTGTTTCCTTGGTTTAAACATTTTTATTTAACAAAACATTTTAAAAGTGAACAATATTTACAAAGTACATTTTGGGATTGGGCAGAAAGCTATAAAGCTTATGAATGTCCTCTCCCAAGAATTAACCTTTGTTGCTCAGTATTCCAGTATGTATCTATAAGCTCATAGCTTCTTACACAATCAAACATAAATTTTGTATGAACTAAATATAAATAAGATAGCAATGAAGAAATACAACATGTCAGCACCAGTGCAGGTTCAGTAATTTAATAATCTACTAAATATAACATGGTTTGATGGTTTATAGTTGCCATATTTCAAGTAAATAAAATTTACATGTATTGAAATTGAGCAATGGTGTTCACAAAAATCAGGAAAATTAAAATTGTTTTATAGTTTCTAGCTTTGCCGATAAATTATTAAAAATTTTTTTATTTTGTTGCACAGTTTTGAATGACATTATAGAAGACATGGCAGAACATCTACAGAAAATTCACAACATTGATGAGTTGGTTCACCTCGCCCTGCCAACTCAGGAGGAGGTCACTGTAGCCGGCAGGGTTTGTTGTGACAGTCATGGTAAACTTAACCCGAAGTCTTTGGTATTAGAAGGCTCTATTGATACATCATCTGGAAAAACTATACCTGTAGATTTATCACAGCTGAAGGAGTATGCACTATTCCCCGGTCAAGTGGTTGCCATGGCTGGTCATAACAGTACTGGACAGAAATTTGTGGCTAGTAAATTATTTGAGGTATGATTCGAAGTTTTAAATCAATTCTTTTAGCAATTTAAGCGATATGAATTTCTCCCTATATATTTTTAAGGTATTTCACGAATTTGATAGATTCTAATTTGCAGTGGTAATTTAATTTCAGTAATTTTGATGCGACTTAAAACAAACCAAAACAGTCAAGTTTATTATGGCAAAACATGAATAAATTTTAATCTGTTAAGTAAGATTTAAAGAAAAAAGATTTTTTGAGGCATACTCACTAAAGCATCAAACTACATGTAAATTGAAAATAACATTATTTTAAAAATTAAGAGAAATGAATGAATATATAACCATAAAAAATTTGCTTTTTCAGAGTGTAACTCTACCATTACCCGAGATTCCAGCTAACACGGACACCAAGAATACAAGGTTATCAGTAATGGTAGCCGCTGGACCATTCTCAACATCAGACTGTTTGTCGTATGAACCTTTTACAGATCTTATAGAACAAATACGGCAAACTAGACCAGATGTCTGTATTCTAGTGAGTTTTTTATGTACATATTTTTAGCTCTACTTTTCAAAGAATACAGAGCTATTGTACTCACTCCGACATTGCTGTCACACTTTGGTTAAGTTTTTTTTGGATAAAAGTAATGTGCAATTGTGCATATATTTAATATAGGTGTGTTTTTTTATGTCAGTTCATGAAAAGATCAGCGGGCATATTTTTTTCTTTTCTTTGGCTATAAAATTTTATTCTTTAAGCTGCAGCTGTCACTCTTTGCCATGGCATACCAATAGGAATATTTGATTCAACAGTAAAAATAATGTTACATGTGATTTTCAAAATGTTGTTGTAATGATAATTTTCAGAGTAAATTTGTAGATAGATAATATATTTGTAAATTTAAAAAAAGATTTTAGTATTTGTTGATCGAAAAGTCTGCATAAAGACTGATAGAAACATAATAATCTTGAATTGTAGTAGTTATAATAACTTATGCTCTTTAAAAACTGCTTCTGTGTGAGATGTTTATAGCTTAATAATAGAAATTTGTCCATTGGCAAACATGTTTATAACCAGCAAGAACATTGTCTCATTTCAGATGGGTCCATTTGTAGATGGTAAAAATGCAGAGATAGAGGTATTTTCTAGTTTTATTTAGTTTCAGTAAAAACTTCCTCCTTTAGCTAATCAATAAATCTACTTTGTTAAGTTAAAGTACATGTAATTGTAATTGACAACATCAAGGTATGAATATTTCTTAACAAACAAATCTAAATGGTCATTGTATGGTAAATATGGATAGAAATCTCCTGTGTATCTACTTTTTAAGTTGAAAGGAAGCTTAGATCAAGGAACTTTTATAATCCTAAAGTGTGACATATAATTTTTGTATAGCCTGTCTTAGTATTGTCCAGGTCATAACTTTGTGGTTCATATATGGATTCTGAAATAATTTTGTGTAAATGTTGAGCACATTAAACTAGTATGTCTCTTGCAAAGCCAATCATTACAGGTCCAAGCACAAGGTCACACATAACTTGCTAGTAAAACATCTTGGCCAAAAGTATAGTTCAGAGGGCATATGTCTGTTCATATTTAGAAAAGTCTTCTTTTTTTTCTAATTTACTACATATTTTAAATTCAGAATAAAAGAGAAACATTGAAAATGGACACTTGGTTTTGGCATGTTATTCTACACGTATTATCATTTGTTTACATTTGCAGAGTGGTAAATTGAAAGTCACATATTATGACATTTTTAAACAAAAATTAGATGAAGTAGCCATTGTGACAGAAAAGTAAGTAGAAAATTGTAGAAAATTTATTAAAAATCTAGGAAATTGTAAATTAATTTGTCAAATTCGAACTAAAGAATGTACAAACAATGTTTCTAAAGCAGCATTGCCTATTACAGGTCATTTTAATTTGGTCCATCATGGAAATGTGGGTTTTCAGCTCACCTGAGCTTGCTCAGGGTGAGCTTTTAGGATCGGTGAATGTCCGTCGTCCATCCGTCCGTCGTACGTCCACAATTGCTTGTGAACACTCTAGCGGTCACATTTTTGAACCAATCATCATCAAACTTTGTCAGGATGCTTGTTTAGTCAATTGCTTGGATGAGTTCGAACATGGGTCATCTCCGATGAAAATCTAGGTCACAGGAGCTATAAATAGAAAAACCTTGTGAACCTCTTAGCGGTCACATTTTTGAACCAATCATCATCAAACTTGGTCAGAATGCTTGTCTAGTCAATTGCTCGGATGAGTTCGAACATGGGTCATCTCGGATGAAAAAGTAGGTCACCGGAGCTAAAAATAGAAAAACCTTGTTAACACTCTAGCGGTCACATTTTTGCTTCAATCATCATCAAACTTGGTCAAGATGCTTGTCTAGGTCATAGCTCAGATAAGTTCAAACATGGGTCATCTCGGATGAAAAAGTAGGTCACCGGAGCTAAAAATAGAAAAACCTTGTTAACACTCTAGCGGTCACATTTTTGCATCAGTCATCATCAAACTCGGTCAAGATGCTTGTCTAGGTGAAAGCTCTGATGAGTTCGAACATGGGTCATCTCAGATGAAAAACTAAGTCACAGGAGCTAAAAAAAGAAAAACCATGTTAACACTCTAGAGGTCACAATTTTGCCTCAATCATCATCAAACTTGTTCAGGATGCTTGTCTAGGTGATAGCTCGGATGAGTTCGAACATGGGTCATCTCGGATGAAAAAGTAGGTCACCGGAGCTAAAAATAGAGAAACCTTGTTAACACTCTAGCGGTCACATTTTTGCATCAATCATCATCAAACTTGATCAAGATGCTTGTCTTTGTGATAGCTCGGATGAGTTCGAACATGGGTCATCTCGGATAAAAAACTAGGTCACAGGAGCTAAAAATAGAAGAACCTTGTTAACACTCTAGTGGTCACAATTTTGACTCAATTGTCATCAAACTTGGTCAGGAAACTTGTCTAGGTCATTGCTGGGAATAAATTGAACATGGGTCATCTCGGATGAAAAAGTAGGTCACCGGAGCTAAAAATAGAAAAATCTTTTTTTTAACACTCTAGTGGCTACTGTTTTGATCCAAATATTCTGTTAATTGGTCTGAAAGTTTGTTTTGATGATTTCTAAGTCAAGTTCGAACATGGGTCATCTTGGATGAAAAACTAGGTCACACTGCCCAAATATGGAAAAACCTTGTTAACATTCTAGTGGTCACATTTTCGACTCAATTATCATCAAACTTGGTTAGGATGCTTGTCTAGGTAATTGCTTGGATGAGTTCGAAATCGGAGCTAAAAATAGAAAAATCTTGTTAACACTCTAGTTGCTACTGTTTTGATCCAAGTATCCTGGAAATTGGTCTGAAAGTTTGTTTTGATGATTTCTAGGTCAAGTTTGAATATGTGTCACCTGGGTAAAAAACTAGGTCGCACTGCTCAAATATGGATAATCCTTGTTAACACTGTAGTGGTCACATTTTTGACTCACCTGTCATGAGACTTGGTCAGAATGCTTGTCTAGGTAATTGTTTGGATGAGTTTGATAAGTCAGGTGAGCGATCTAGGGCCATCATGGCCCTCTTGTTTTAATGACACTATGTATTCATACTGTGATTACCCATAGTATGTAGATTTTAAATCATAACCTATCGTCCCTGTGTGTACTTATAAGATGTTTATTTTACATTTTAAAAAAAAAGATATGAAATAAGAGCATAATATATCTTAAAATATTTTTTTCTTAGATTTTGATTTTAAAGTGTTTAATAAATTTAATATTCTTTAAATTGTTTTAATATTCTTTTGATTAATTTTATTCACGATTTATTGATAATATAAATAATTTTGTATTACAAATATGCATTTATTCGTATCTTCTGTGTGTTCTAACTATATGATTAAACATTTTATATTTCAGTTTAAATGTCCAGCTGGTTGTATTGCCCTCACAAAGAGATGTACATCATGATCCAGTGTACCCCACCCCACCTTATAACCTGAAAAATTCTTACAAGGTAGCTGTATTTCATACCTTCACAGTTCCTGCTAATAAATCTCTGACTATAATGATTCTTATCGCCATAATTGATTAACAAGTAGTTTTAAGTTGCATATGAAATAGAACTATTTATAAAGACTTTTCCTGCTTATTGTTTGATTTTATTAACCTGTCAATTACATAGTCAGTACACACAGTATATTAATCTTCAGTAGATTTTCCGTAAGTTTCGTGAGATGTACACAATATAATCTAAGTGGCCGATTAGTTTTTTTAGCGTTTGAGACCCTCCGAATTGGTTTCCATGTTTTTTTTTTTTCCATTATTAATATTTTCCCATCATTATTGAAGTTAATAATGGATTTTGTTTTATTTTGTAATCTTTTGTTTTTAATAATGTTTCTAACTTAATTTTGTAAAGTCTATACTCTTTTTTAAATACCCACGGTTTTAAGAATTCATGTTTTAAAATAAATTCCCCCGGATTTTAAATCAATAAATCTTTATTCCAAAATGTGTAAGCACACTACAAATTGATTTTTAAAAATCTGAAATTTATTTGTTAACTTTTAGAATGGAAGCTTTGCGTGGAAAACTGAAATGAACTTTTTTATTTTTGCAAACAATCAAAAGTAACTTTGACGTAATAATAATTTTTTTTCAGTTAAAAAATAAATCATTTTGAAAAAAAATGATGCTTGATATTTATGTTTTAGAATATATTATTTGTTCTTTTAAATTACATGCATGAACACTTTGCAAGATTCCATGCACACTTAGAATAAACAACATTTGTGTTTGCCCTTAATCAAAGATTTTTGTTTTCACTGGGAATGAAGAAATTTCCTTGTAAGTTTCTTTGAATATAAATGAATACAGTGACTGTTAGATCAAGTACACTGTTAAAAACATTTGTGGTCAATTCAAAGATTTCAAACGATAAATGTCTTTAATTTTGCCTGCAAATTAAAAAGGTTTCAAGTTTGTATGTAAAGTAGCCTAATTTCTTGATTTATGTAATATATTATTTTAGAATTCCTTTGCTTGTCTCTTAAGCAAGAAAATTTTAACTGTTTTTCTTGACTTTCCAATTTTCCTAAGGCATGTTCATCTGATAAATACAAATATTAGTGTGAAAAAAAAATTTTGTCTGAGAATTGCAAACTGTAGTATGTATATAACTGTTGCATTCTGTTTTTTAGTCCCCCGGGGTCCAGTGACAGACTTGGTAGGTTAACGCAACATCTTCTGAATCAGCATAGGTATATGATGCCTTTTCTTTTTGTGGACAATGTTATTTGGTAAATTAAGATAACATCAAAGAAATAGCAAAAATTAAAAATTATTTTAAGTTTGGGAAATTATTTCATTCTTTGGAATTAAAATTTTTGTATGTTTGAAAATTTTTTTATATGGGAAAAATTTTTTGTTGAAAATCCCCCCCTTCGGGAAAGGTTAAAATTGTTTATTTGCAAGATTTTTTTTATACAAAAAAAATACATAAAAAATTTTTCCACAAATATTTTTTGGAATAAGGGGGGTTTTTTTTTTTAAAACAAAATTTAAAATTTTCCCTTTTTAAAATTATTGTTTGTTTTTTGTTCAGCTACCCCCTATTTCCCCACCACTTTTGAAATATGTGTTAATTATGGAAGTTTTCACCATGTTTAAAATGCCTACAACAACCTCATGTCCTGATAATTTTTACCCTCAGAATTTTAAACAAGTTTATAAAGGGTAAATGCTGGTTCTTACATTTTGATTCTAGTATACATGAATTATAGCCAAAATTTGCCGTCTACAGAGATTGATACTACCCCGTAAGAACCAAATTCATGTAAAGAATCTATGTTAATTAATAGATTGTTAAGGTACACACATATGAGAAAAACTATCTAGCTGGTTTGATGGTCTACTTATTCTGCCGTTAATGTTGAAATAAATGTAATGTAAAGAGATGCATTTCCAAATTCCCTTCGTCATTTAATGCTGAAATCTGTAACAGAAAGTAATCAGTGATGATTTTGGATTGTGCAGACACAGGCTTATGGTTTACATCAACTCATCAGAAAAGGCAGAGAGAATATTAAATGAAAAGAAATGTTCAATACTGAATTTATTGTATGAGTTGATTATACTATATTAATTTTTTGAGACTTTAAAAATGGTATTGCACAGCCGGCATATATATTTTGACCATGACTCATTGTGTCTTAAAAATACGGTGTAAATAATGTGCTGAATGTTAGAGTAATACTATAAGTTGCTTAATTAAAGAGGATTTATTTTTTAGGCTCACCTGTCACAAAGTGACAGGGTCAAAATGTGACCAGGGTGAGCTTTGTGATCGACTTTTGGTCCGGCGTCCGCCGTAAACTTTTACTTTAAATGACATCCTCATAAAACCGCTGAGCCAATTTCATCCAACTTCACAGAATGTTTCCTTTGTGGTCACCTTTAAAAATTGTTTCAAAGAATTAAAAATTCCATGAAGAACCTCTGGTTGCCATGGGCAACCCGCGCAATCATGGCAACACGATAGAAAAAATTAAAAAAATATCTTCTTTAAAAAACCAAAGAGGAGCGTTATATTTGGCATTTGAACATTTCCTATAGTGAGTTGTCTATATAGTTGTTCAAAAAAAAGCCATGGGGTCAAAATTGGCCCCTGCCCGGGTTGGTCATTGATTTTCCGTATATGCATATAGTAAAAACTTAAAATATCTTTAAAGAACCAAAAGCAGTAGAGCTAAGATATTAAGCATGAAACTTCTTTTAAAAAACCCCAAAGAGCTAGAGCTAAGATATTAAGCATTGAAACATCTTCTAATGGTGTCTACAAATTTTGTTCAAATAAAAGATGGGGTCAAAAATGGCCGGCCCCAGGGGGTCACTTGATTTTCCCTATATGCATATAGTAAAAACTTATAAAATCTTGGTTTTAAAAACCCAAGGAGCTCTAGGAGCTAAGAATATTGTGAGGCATGAACATTTCTAATGGTGTCTCCAAATTTGTTCAAATAAAGAGCCCTGGGTCAAAATTGGCCCTGTCCCGGGGGTCATTGATTTTCCTTATATGTGTAAAGCAAAAACTTTTTAAAAAAATCTTCTTTGAAAAAACCCAAATAGCTAGAGTTTAGATACCAAGCATGAAACATCTTCTAGTGAGTGTCTACATAGTTTGTTCAAATAAAACACGCCCGTTTAACTCACAACGAGTGAAAAATGTCCATCGGTAAAAATGTTGTGAGCAACTTCCGTTCCTCGTTGTGAGCACCCATCTGTGACGTGTAAAGAAATGCTGCTGTGCAAAAACGTTTTAATTGCTTTGGTAGATTGAAAATTATATTTTCACCATCTGAATTACATATTAAAACCATATGCGCACTGCGCTTGTCTTGCTCACAACGAGGTTATGGTGCTCACAACGAGGATTAAAGCAAAAAAGGGTATATCTTTCGTTTCTATGAAGACTTTTAAGATAATAATTTACGCTGAAGACTTGGTGGGCATCTGTTTTAGGTTAGAATGCACAAAACGTCACCAGAATCGACGTTTTCAATGTTAAATTAGGTCCAAAGAGAAGTTGTCTCCAGTTTTCCCAAGCTACCCGAGGTGACTGCGTTCGCACGATATTTGCCATCAAATTGTCCACCAACATGCAATATCTTTACTGTGCATACTCGGAAAACACCCCATCGCTAGCTAACTGCATTCCAATATTTTTACATTAATGTCTGTAATCTTCAAAAATTATGAAAAACTCACCTTGTTTATCGTGTCACACGTCATAGATGGGTGCTCACAACGAGGAACGGAAGTTGCTCACAACATTTTTACCGATGGACATTTTTCACTCGTTGTGAGTTTAACGGGCGTGTAAAAGCCCTTGGGTCAAATATATAAAGTTACTTTAAGAACTGTTTACCGTAAAAGAAGACTCACTTTTTCATTAACAAGATTATTGTGTAATGCTAAAATTTAGCATGTCCTTACACTTACCCCAAAATATATGCACAGTCGTGCTTTGCCATTTTTTTTCGGAGTTGCAGGGGTATGTGATTAAAGTGATGGCTGTTTTAGATGATAATTGCGATATGATGAATGAGAGACATATATTATCTTTGTTGATAAAAATTGCACAAATGCATTATCAGATTTTTCACAGTGTTACGTTTTGATACTTATTCTTTAAAATATTACTTAGTACAGCAGTTTCTGTGAACTTGTAAAGAAATTGTATCTATCTGTCTGAAAACATGATCAGGGCATGTTGTATATTGCAGGAAATCAAGGGATGCTGTTGTATAAACCCAGGTCGTCTAACTAAAGGTTTGACTGGGTCAACATTTGCAAAGATTGTTGTTCAAGTAAATGAACTAGGAAATAACCAGTCTGTGGTTAAAGATGTATCTGCACAAGTGGTTAGGATTTAGATGGCTGTAGATGTTGGTCTTGTATTTAAGAAGGAATCACCTGTCATATACTATACATCAAGACAATTAACAGCGAAGAATGTCTGAACTTCAAAACTTACGATGAGCTACAGTGAAACTAAAATATTTAATAATAAAGAGGAATTAAATAGTGAGAAGACAACTTTTAGAAAATAATTTGGAAAAAGTGTAAGGATATGATACCATTTTATTCTTGAATGATTTTAAACACCTGAAAAAAATGTCAGTATGGCCTTCCTCAGGTCAAGGTCACACTTAGTCATTGTGTACGAATTTCAAAATTTATGTCCGCTCTGTATCTTTTGAACTGAAAAAAAGGAAAAAAATTTGGGGGAAAATTTTCTTATAAAACCATGTGCAAAAACCCAGGTTTTACTTTCTTAGATTAAAATTGGTTGCTTCATTTTCCCCCCCGGTTAACCGGAGGGACTTTAGTTTCCCTCCGTCCGTTTCCGTTGTTGTCTGTCCGCACCGGAGGAATATTGTGGCTAGCAGGGACAATAGCGTAACTGTTCTTTCTCTTTTATGTCATTCATCACGATAGTGCTTTTATGTGGCTATTTCTTTTGTGTGGCTAAAAAGAACAATAGAGAGAACAATAGAGTAGCCACATAATTACTGTCCTGTGAGAACATCC